ACTCTCACTCAAGGAGTAACTTCTGCATAGGTTTTATTTCTTTTTGTCCATTTCTCCTCTTTGATATAGAGGAGCAAGGAGATTTCACTCAAAGCTTCAATACTCTGACTAAAGGGCAGAACTTACATTGCTATCTATTTTTCACAGAATGACCCCAGATGGCTCACAGCAACCAATTAATAATAAAAAGGTCATCCCAGCTCCCAACACATGCATACCAAGTTCCCAGAACCATTCCAGCTTTCCTGTCCCTTAAGGCTAAAAGGATAAATAATCTTGGAATATTCCCTTCTAAGGTAAAGTATCTCAGAAGGACTTACCAGTCAACAGAACAGGTCTAGCCTCCGGGAGGCCCTGGGGGTCCTGGGGGTCCTGGGGGTCCTGGGGGACCTGGGGGACCTGGGGGACCTGGAGGTCCTGGAGGACCTGGAGGACCAGCGGGTCCTGGGCCTCCTGGGCCTCCTGGGCCTCCTGGAGGACCTGGAGGACCTGGAGGACCTGGAGGACCTGCAGGACCTGGAGGACCTGGGCCACCTGGGGCCCCAGCAGGCCCGGCAGGCCCAGTAGGCCCGGCAGGCCCGGCAGGCCCGGCAGGCCCAGCAGGTCCTGCACGTCCTGCAGGCCCAACAGGCCCGGCAGGCCCTGCTAGTCCTCTGGCCCCTGGAGCTCCCGCTGGCCCCGGTCTAGCATACATCATGGGAGCACCCATTGGATTTGGATTGCGATAGCCATAATTTGGAGCTCGATAATATGGATATCGGTATCTCCGTCGTTCATGGCTTCCACTTTCACTGCTGGCCTGCAAGAGAAAGAGAAGAATGAGAAAAACATCCCATGAAAATAGATAAATAGATTTAATGTTGTGGTTATAATTAATACAAAACTTTTCTTTTCTTTTTTTTTGTGATAACTGTTTTTGACGAAATCGGCTCATCAGCTATGCTACTTATGGAACTGATTCCCCAAGCCAAAGCAATCATCTAGGATTGCAGCTTATTGAAAGAGCACCAAGCATTTTGGTTGCCTTCAGCCAAGTATCTGGAAGACCATATGAAAAATGAGGATGTTGCCTTCCAAGGGACATCATCCCAATTCCACCTTTGGAAAATTCTTAACAGCAAATACTTATTTTAAAACCTGTGCAGTATGCCAGTATTTCTCAGCATTGGCAATTGTAAGATGGGTGATCTTCAACTCCCAGAATTCCTCAGCCAGCCATTCCACGCATCTTAAAATTGCCAATGTTGATAAACACTGCTCTTTGCTAATGAGAGGGAGAATCTGGTTCAAATCTCTGCAACTGATGGACTTCCTAATTGGACTGAACATTTCTTCTCTTTCTCTCACTCTGTCTCTCTAATTCCTCCATCCCAGCCTCCTTTTGCAGTGTGGAATAATAATCCTGACTTCCCTCACTGAACTTTCAGACAAGAATCTTGAGAAAATGAATGTTCTGCCCAACCCATCCCATAAAAACGAAGTAACCCTCTGATTAGCAAAAATTTACTGTTATTTTTTTTTCTAGATATTTCTATCATACAATCGCAATGAAATAATGTGTACCTCTAAAGGAACAACGAGGGCAAAAAGAGAGGCAAGAACAACCACAATCTTCATTTTGTTGGATAAATCTGTAAGAACAATTAGTTATTTAGTTATTTACAGTTATTTAACTGAATGCCAAGTTAATTCATACTGCTCAAGAAAATTTTGTTGGTCTCCAAATGACTTTTAGAACTCTCTCCTACCATGAGATGGACATCTGGCATTTTGCTTCCCAGATCTCATGGCTCTAATTATACCTATCAATTCTATGCAATTATGTTTAAGAAAGTGATATAAAAATGTATTGATTTCTAATGAATATCAATGATTTAAAAAGTCTTCAATATTCTCTTGAAAACTTCCTAATTATCTTAAAAGCAAATCTAAAGCTTTGTCCCTCCCATTGACTGCATCAGAGTCTGAACTGAATCTGATTTAGATTTAAGAGACAGAGCCACTAGAGATGTTAATGATCTTGAACAATGTGAATCATTTGCACTTTTGATATTACACCCTTCCAAAGCTTTTGAGCAGAATCCTCTCAGAGGCTGCATTCAGGCTATGAAATCTCTTGCTTCATGGGGGGAAAAAAACCTGAATTTCTAACAGACAGAGAAGACCATGGGAGCCTCAGTGACTAATTCTCTAATCCCTTTGTACCTAAACTTTATTTGACTATGAGCGTTGGAAGGAAACTATTAATAGAAAAAAGTATTACTATTTTATATAAACATTTTCATGTTCTCCTTTTTTCATCATGGTAAAAAGAGTACAACAGTTAAAATAAATATAAATAGACACTACAGTCCTATGATCCTAAAATGATAGGTCCTGTTCTTCTAAAAACATAATTGACTGTTTGGTCACTTTAAAATAAATAATGTAAATAATATATCAAATCACCAGGACCAGATGGATGGCACCCCAAAGTTCTGAAGGAGTTGGCAGACAAAATCTCAGAACCACTGAACCATATCTTTCAAATATCCTGGAGCACCGGGGAACTATCAGATGACTAGAAAAGAGATGTAGTACCTATCTTCAAAAAAGGAAAAAAAATAGATCCTGGAAACTACAGACCTATCAGCCTGACATCAGTATTTGAAAGATTCTGGAAAAAATAATCAAGCAATGAATCTGCGAACATCTAGAGGCAAACAAAGTCATAACCAGAAGCCAACATGGGTTTGCCAAAATAGATCATGCCAGACAAGTCTTATTGCTTTCTTCAACAAAGTGACAAAATTAGTGGACCAGAGAAATGCTGTAGATATAATTAACTTGGACTTTAGTAAGGCATTTGATAAAGTAGACCACAACCTACTACTTGACAAGATAGAAAAATGTGGGTTAGCATCACTATCAGTTGTATTTTTAACTGGCTGACCAACTGCACTCTATGTGCAATCCTTAATGAAACTACATTTACATGGATGGGTACCCCAAGGATCTGTCTTAGGCCCAGTACATTTCAATATCTCCATCAATGATTTAGATGAGGGGATAGAAGGGAAACTCATCAAATTTGCAGACAACACCAAATTGACAGGAATAGACAATACTCCAAAAGATGATACAAGAGGGATCTTGACAGACTTGAACACTGGGCCCTATTTAGTAAAATAAAATTCAATGGTGAGAAAAGCTGTTGAGAATCCAGAAAGTGAGCAACGAAGATGGTTAGGGGACTGGAGGCTAAAACATGTGAAGAATGGTTGGTGGAAATGAATATGTCTAGTTTAATGAAAAGAAGGATTACTGATGTTATGATAGCAGTGTTATCTAATATCTAAGGGGCTGCCACAAAGAAGAGGGGGTGTCAACCTATTTTCCAAAGCACCCAAAGGCATGACAAGAAGCAATGGATGAAAAATAATCTAGAAGATAAGCAACCTAGAACTAAGGAGAAATTTCCTGACTGTTGGAACAATTAATCAATGGAACAACTTGCCTCCAGAAGTTGTGGGTACTCTATCACTGGAGGTTTTTAAGAAGAGATTGGACAATCATTTATCTGAAACAGTATAGAGTTTCCTGCTTGAGCAGGGGTTTGGACTAGAAGACCTCCAAGGTCCCTTCCAACTCTGTTATTCTGTTAAGACTTGTTTTAAAAGAAATAGAGCACCCTCTATAATGTACTGCGAGGTTTCTGTGTTTTGGATAAGTGTTGACCATAATATTAGAAGAAGCAGTTCAATATAAAGAACTGAGGTGCAAAGTAGCTGTAAGTAAATTGATTTCAATAGTATAGTTAAGCATGTGTTGCTGTTTCTATATCCCCCACTAATTTCAAAGTATCTCAAGGCAATCAAAATTCACCATCTGATATTTATGCAGCTCTTCATGTCAATAATTCTGTTTGCCAAACAACTGCCGAGGAAGAGTCAAAACAAATATATTTTGACTTACCTTTTTCTTTGCAGTGCAGTTTTTGCTCCGCTCACTCTGAGTGATGTTCTGAGATGTAGTGGTGGTGGTTATGTACTTTCCAAAACTTCCTGGGATTAGTTAGATTGTCTGTCAACACATCTTCTGGGATTAGAAGACTTTTGCCCTAATCTTTTACAAATATGCAGGTAATAATCTTCAAAAATCCCATTTTGAAATATTGTTTTGTGGTAAAGTTGAGCAAGTTACTTGAGAAATTTCTCCTCAAGAGTTGATAGTGGTGATCCAGCAAAAGACCTAAAGAGTTTCTTTTAGTAAATGGGAAATTACCTTCAAGTCAAAGTGGATTCATAATAAATGTCACTATAAATACATATTCTTTTCTGATATTGACCTGGAATTGATTTTCCATTTCTTTGTTCTGGAATGCTTTTTTTCATTTTCCCAATTTAGTACACAATCCTAGAATTTCTTTCTATTCTCCAATCCAATATCTACCAGAATTTTATTTTATTATTAAAATTCTACTCCACACATCTCAGATAAATTCACAATTTTACTTTGTGGTAAGCCAAAAGATATAAACAATTTGGTTGTGGAAATCCTTTCCTGTTCAGTTATGGTTGGCATTGAGCCTTAGGAGGTTCTGATACTAGTTTATGACATTTGTCTTTAATTCTTTAATGTATTTATTCTGGTTACCGTAATTAGAAATTCTATGTGATTCAGTCTAAGTCATAATGTTAAACCTGCCTTCATAGAGCTTTATGGAAGTTTTAGATTGAAACATATACTAGTCTGTTTTATTGTAAATGTTTTCACATTCTTAATTGGTTTTAATTTGGGATTATCTAATTTGGGATTGTTTGGTTTTGTTTAAAAAACATAGTCATGAAAATAATCTGTGATATAAAGTTCACAAATAAATCGATCAGTTTATTCCTCAAAAGCCCAAAATTCCAATTTTTCTTTAGAGGAAAACAGCAAAACATTCACAATGTTAGATACAACAAGCAGAAATAGAAAGCCAGTTTGACTAGGGAAAAAAAACATACCTAGTTACAGATTGATCCCTATTTCTATAGAACTGAAAGAAAATCTGAATGATTTTGCTGCCCCATTCCAGTCTTCATTATCTATCTTATGATCCTTATCAGCTTATCCACAGTTATGCTATATTTTAATAAGCCTAAATCTGCAAGTCTGATTCACATAAAGAAGCCTATTCAGTTTAAGATCCTGAAGCTGTGACCCACCAGGTAAGTCAGAAATCTTGAGGGTCCAGATACTAAAGGTTTAATTCCTCATTAAACTGAACAAGTGATACAGCTTATCTTGAAAAAGAAGTGAATGCTGTATATTAGGTCTTGTCTCTGGCTTGGTTTATTTCTTTAGAATATCAGGCTATTTTTCTGAATTGTTCAGCATGTTTGTGGTAATAAAATCCCCTTATTCACTTTCCTTGTCCTAGGAAGAACCCAGCCTCTGAGTCAGATGGATTATGATCTAAGTTTCAGTATCTTCAATGGAATCCACCACTGGCCAGGATTTTTAACACTGCATAAATTCCCCCATGTTTTCATAGGGTGAGCTCTGCTTCAGTTTTGCCACATGTGTGACCTGCTTTTCCTCAGACAATTCTAGCTCACTTTCATGGTTTGTTTCTCCTCATTTTCTCCCACAACGACACTGTGAGGGAAACTGAGCTGAAGGTGTTGAAAGAAAAATCTTCATCAGGGTCCAGTCCAAGCCGGGATTAAACAAAATGGAGACTGCTTTAGAAAGAAGGTTGTAGTTTATTGAAGAGCAGGACCACATGTCCTAAAGGTCATGTCCTGTTTCCCTGTGGCTGTGGCTGATGGCTATGTCCTGGAGACTGCTTTAGAAAGAAGGTTGTAGTTTATTTTATTTTTTTTTCAAAAGTTTTTTATTATTTTCAACATAAAAAAAAACACATCACAAGTGCATCACAGTTATAAACACCCCCCCACCCCCCACCCGGACTTCCCAAACCTAATCCCAGGATACTATTCATCTACAAGTAACCTTATATTAATATCCCTAACTCCACAAAATATAATTCTACAAAGTAGGTGCAATATATATATATGTAAAAAAAATTTTTATCTAAAAACCTAATTTATATTCCACCATTCTATACTTATTTTGAATATAAACAATCCATCTTCTCCATATTAATAAAAATTGTTCATTTGAGTGGTCCTTCAAATAAGCTGAAATCTTTGCCATCTCAGCAAGATGCGAAACCTTCACTCTCCAGTCCTCTATTGTAGGTAAAACTTTACTCTTCCAGTTTTGAGCTATCAACAAACGGGCAGNTGTGCCATCTGTAAAACATCTTATAAAAATTCTCACGTAGGTTTTGTGCCTGCGTAAATTTCACATTTCTCACCCATATCAACTCCCAGGTATCCATAGATATTATTTCTCCTATATTTTGAGCCCATTTAATCATACAGTCTTTAACTAGCTCAGTTTCTGAATCCAATTCTAATAAAACATTATATATCCTTCTAATGTGTCCTTTAGCGTCATCCCTTACTTGTTTCAAAAAATTCCCATTTTCCATAAAAGAAGCAGTTTTTTTATCAATTCGCCATCTCTCTTGAACTTGTCTATACACAAGCCAGGAAAAGTCTGGATACTTCCGTCTCAAAACTTCTATTGATTTGAGGCACCATTCACCACTACCACTCAAATATAGCAAATCTTTATAAGATGGCGCCTCCATAACCACAAATCTTGGTATAGTCAAAAAAATGTGTGACGGTATCACCCAAATTGGAAGTTTAACATCAAACTTAAAAAAATATTTTTGCCAAACTCTCAGCAATGCAGCCCTTATTATATGATTTCTAAAAGTTTTATCAATCTTTTTTTGCATAAAAAGATAAGCATGCCACCCAAAATACAAATCCCATCCTTCCAAGTTCAAAATCCTCTTATTGGATAAATTAATCCAATCAGACATCCAAGTCAATGCACAAGAGTCATAGTAAAGTGTCAAATTTGGAGCCTTAAGTCCTCCACGTTCTCTAACATCTTGAATAATCTTGAATTTAACACGAGCCTTCTTGCCTTCCCAAATGAAACGGTTCAAGTCTCTCTGCCATTCTTTCAAATTAAATTCATTTTTCAAAATAGGTATCATCTGAAACAGGAAAAGAAACTTAGGTAAAATGTTCATTTTAATGGCCGCGATACGACCCAGCAAGGAGAAATGAAGTTTTTTCCACATTGATAAGTCCTTTTGTACTGATTTCCACAATTTCTCATAATTATTCTGGTAAAGTTTCATGCTCTGCGCACAGTCACTCAGGCCCTCGTCACCTCCCGCCTGGACTACTGTAATGCTCTATACATGGGGCTCCCTATGAGGAGCATCCGGAGGCTTCAACTGGTCCAGAATGCGGCCGCGCGGGCGGTGTTGGGAGCGACGCGTCGCTCCCATGTAACGCCGCTGCTGCGCGAGCTGCACTGGTTGCCAGTGGCCTT